AGAAGTGGTAGAAAGCATAAATACTTGTATTATTCTCTATTTCAAGGAGAAAACTCTCAAGTGTTTCTGTTAAATATAAAGTTGATTGTGTTTTTTTAAAAATATATTCTCTGAATCATATTGGAAAATTTTCCTTTTGGAGGGTTTTCATCAAGAAATGGTGTTAGAGTTTATTAAATGCTTTGCCTATTCATAGAGAAGCTCATGTGTTCTTCTGTTTTACTGATATGGCATTGATTTTGGTTTTTAATTTTTATACATTCTTTTATTTATTTTAAAGGAAATTTATAAACCTAATTGATTTTACATTCAATAAACCAGATACATTTTGTTTTACAATATTTATTATATTGGTAATTAACTAATTAATGACGTTTGATGAACTCCTTATAGCCTGTTCTTTCTTCTGGCTTCTCTATTTATTAGTTTTTATTCCATTCCCATCCTGATTGATTTTCTAATAGTGATTATCCTCACATTCCTGGGGGAAGTCTCCCGTGGTTATGATGGTATATGCTCCTTTGGATTCACTGTTTTCTTGAGGGTGTTTACATCTACATTCCCATGAGAGACTAGTTTTCTTAACGTGTCTTTGCCTTTGGTATCCAGGTTATGTTTATTTTACAGAATGATTTAAAGTCCTCTTTCCTTCTCTATTGTCTGGAAAAGTTCCAGCAGTATGTGTGTCAACTCCTCTCTAAAGGTTTGGTAGAAGCTATCAGTCTGGGATTTTATTTTTGGCTTGGAGGCTTTTGATCAAAGATGAAATCTCTTGTTATGGACTTGCTTTCCATTTCAAGTCAATCTGGGTAGGTTGTGTGCGTCTAAGAATTTGTCCATCTCTCCTAGGTTAAGCAGTTTACTGGCATATAATTGTTCACAGAATTCTGTCATGATGCTTTTTATTTCCATCAATTCAGTTGGAAGATCTCCACTTTCACCTTCTTTTGGTTATGTGCATCATTTCTTTGTCAGTAGGTTTGTCAATTTTACTGAGCTTTTCAAAGAATCAACTTCTAGTCTTGGTAATTCTGTTTTTCTGCTTTTTATTTAAATTCTTTCTGCTGTTATCTTTGTTATTTTCTTTATCCTGGTAGATTTAAGCTAAGTTTGATCTGTTTACTTGAGATGCATCTTCTTTTTCATATAGGCCTTTACTATTGTAGGTTTCCCTGAGTAATGCTTTCCTTGTAGCCAGAAAGTTGTGGTTACATTATGCTTTCATTTTCACGTGTTCTCTATGTAAAGTGTGACTGCTCTTTTTTATCTTTGACCCACTGGTAGTTTAACAGGATGCCATTTCTGTTCCACAGAGAGGTGTATTCCTTCTTGCTCCTCCCCTCCCTTCGTGAGGGACTACTGTTATTTCTAGATTCACTCCACTGTGTTCAGAGAAAATATTTAGTATCCTTCCACTCTCAAATGTACTGAGATTTGCTTTTTCATCATGCTGTTGGGAATTTCCTTGAAGGAGACTGTACGGTGCTCCTGGTGAAGAATGTGGTCTACAGCAGTTAAATCTAGCTGGGTTAATTCTCTGTTCCCTTGTTCATCTTCTTTCTGGGCATTCTGTTAAATATTTAAAGTGGTGTACCAAAGTCTTCAACTATTATTTAATTTCTCTCAATTTTAACATTGATGAATATTTAGGTGATGTTGAGTACATGACTGTGAAATCTTCTGGCTAAATCGACACTTTTTTTTTTTTTTTTTAAATTTTGTGTGTGTGTACCGTCAAATCAGATCTGACTGGTACAGGAGGATATTACGCCTCCTTCTCCGGCAGAGCATCTGGTGGATTCGAACCGTGTTCCTCTGGGATTGCAGTGCAGCTTCTTGCCACTAGGCCACCAGAGCTCCCCTTAAATCGACACTTTTATAATTATTTACTGTTCTTTTCTTGATGTTGTCCAGTCGGATACAACTCAACAATTGCTCAGAGAGGGTGTAGTCCCTTCCCTCTCTTACCCGTTCCTCTTCTTCATTTTAAATTTTATTTCATTATTTCTTGTGCATGTATAATCAAATCAGATCTGACTGGTACAGGAGAGGATTGTCCCTCCTTCTCCAGCAGAGCATCTGGTGGATTCAAACCATGCACCTCTAGGACTGCAGTGTAGCTTCTTGCCCCTAGGCCACCAGAGCTCCCTCCTGTTCCTCTTCTGAAAGCACATTCCTCACCCACTGAGCTACACCCCTCCTTTATTCTTGTTATGTACTGCTGAGTCAGAGCTGACAGGCACAGGAGGAGATTGTCCATCCTTTTCCAGAGGAACATTTGGTGGATTCGAACTCCGCCTTAAGGATTGCAGCGCAGCTTCTTGCCACAAGGCCACCAGCGCTCACTCCCACTGAGCTGTCAAAGGTGGCGCTGCCCTTCTGTTTCAGAGGCCTCCTTCTGTACTGTAGGAGCATTCCTACCACTGAGGGGAAGCAAGTCAGAAGTGTCCTCCCTTGGGAGGAAGAGGACAATCACTCGCCTCATCTCAAACCCTCTCTTGTTTTCAGAGACTCAGTGGTTTGGGGAGCAGTTTATATTTAAAGGACATACCTTCCAGCTTCACTGCAGGACACCAGCAGTACAGCGCCCAGCTGTTACCATATAAAGCAAGGGTATGCCACAAGGTCTGCCTTGTTGTCATCAGAGTCCCAGGAGCATTCCATTGAGGTGACCACAGTAGCCAATCACACAGTACCTGCACCCTGGCAGACAGCAGCCTCAGTTAACATCCTCATTGCCAAGAAGAAGAGGGAGCAGCTGAACCTGGACTCCCTCCCAAGATGCCTGCCCTCCAGAGATGCCAGTCTCAAAGGTCTGAGCTATAGGGTGCATGTGGACTTCAGAAGGCAAGAACACTTCCATGGAAACAGATTCCACTCCTAGAATCTTTCACAGCAGCTGGAAGTCACAGCTGGGGACCTGATGTGAGTGAGGTGAGTGAGGGGTGTAACACTCAATGGTTCTGCTTTGTTGCTATAGAGCATGCTTCCTTCCATACAATGCCGGCGTGAGTTTAGTCTCTAGTCAAGAAGACTGCTTCCTAGCACACCAGAAGTCTCAGCCAGCGGTTCTTAGCAATGACTGCATCAGGGGACTGAAAGATTTAGACTTACTCTCAGGTTGTTATTGTCAGGTATCACCAAGTTGACTATGACTCATAGTGACCTCATAGCTCTATCCTATGCCTTCCTCGCCATCTCTAATATCCTAAAGCCCACTGTTGCAGATACTGTGTCAATCCATCTCACTAAAAGCCTTTCTATTATGCTTCACCTTTCCCAGCATGTTTTTCCCCCAAAGACCAGCCTCTCCTGACAAAATGCACAAACTATATGCGAAGTTTCATCATCTTTGCCACTAAGGAGGACCCTGGTTGCATTTCCTCCAAGACAGTGTGTTTGTTCTTTGGCAGTCCATGGGATAGTCAGTCCTTTCCTCCAACACAACTCAAGAGCATCAAATCTTCTGTCATTCTTATTCACTGTCCAACTTTCACTTGCATCGAAGCAAATGAAAAGACCATAGCTTGGATCAGGAGCACCTTAGTCTTTAAACTGACATCTTTGCTCTTTAGAGAGGTCTCTGATAGAATTATTTTCCTAATGCATAATCTTTTGATTTCTCAACTGCTGCTATCATGGGTGTTGATTGTGGATCCAAGTAATATGAAATCACTGATGCTATGAGGTGTGCATGCTCCAAGTTGAGTCACAGCAGACATACCTTGCTGGCTTCAGAGCAGCAGCTCAGGTCCTGTCTCTTTAGACAATCAGGGGGTGTGCTGTTTAGGGGAATTTCTTCCCATGTTCACAGTGCCCTGTTACCTGTGTAGCTAGAAGAGAAGTTATTTTCCCCTCAGATGTGGTTTGTAGAATCACTGATTTCTTGTCTGTCTGCAGTTTCATGCTGCTCTCCTCTGTTCCCCAATTCAGAGTCCCTCACAGCTAAGCATTATTGTCCTGCTAATTCTGTGTGGGAGGGTTAGAACAATGGCCTGTTTATACCATCATCTTCCCAGAAGTGTGTTTTTCGTTTTAATGAAGCCCATCTTATTTATGCTTTCCTTTGGTTTTTAGTGTCATATCTGAGAATCCAGAGTCAAATCCAAGGTCTGTATTATCTTCTAATCTTATAGTATTTCTCTTACATTTAGTTTGTTAGTCTGTTTTGCTTTAATTCTTTAAAATGGGGTGGAGTAGGAATCCAACCTCATTCTTTCTCATGTGGCTATTCAACTGTCCTGGCACCACTTACTGGAAAGGCTTGGCATTTTGGTAAAAAGCTAATTGATGAAATATTGTCATTTAACTCATTATTATCAAGTTAATTCTAACTCAGCAATACTGTAGGACAAGCAAAACTGCCCCAGAGTTTCTAATGCGGAATCTTTTCGGAAGCTGACTAACACAATTTTATTCCACAGAGAACCTGGTGGTTTCAAACCACTGACCTTTAATATAGCAGCTGTGGGCGTAACTGCTGTACCCCAAGGGCTCCTTGGGATTGCCACTTACTGTTATTTACTTGAGTTCAGCTTTTTTTAATTCATGTAACTCATTTCTATAACATTTTAAAAGCTAATAAAAAAAGCAATGTAATACGGGTTTGTATCTAACAAACCTTTATTATTTTCTATACCTTAGTGCCATACAAGCAGGGTTTCTGTAAAAGGACAAAAGTAAATTTTATCCAGTAAAAGAATTCCTGTAATGCCCACGAGTGCTCATTTCTCCCCCAGATTCTTGTGGCACAGGCTGCCCCACTTACCAACTGACAGTCAGACGACTGCAGACACTGGAGTTATACAGTCAGGTATCTCGGTAACTGGCCCTCACTTGTAGCAAAGCTCTTGAAATTATGATTTTCTCATTTGTAAAATGAAGATAACAATACTAACATCATAGCATAAATGAAAGAATTTGGCACATGTTATGAAAAAATATCTGCAATAAAGGGTAGCATGTTGGTATTTTGTCTTTTCCCAGAAATAGTAACTTACCAAGTAATAACTGCTGGATTGGCCCCTGCTAACTTCCTATTAGCATAATTTATTTTCTGGCGGGGATACCAATTTTTTTCAGTTACATTTATGTTTTTAATCCATGATCCTCCTTTTGCCAGCATTTTCTTTTCAAAGTTCTAAAGGAAAAGAACATGATTTTCTTTACTTGTTATATAAAATTATGTACGATTACATTCAAGCAGAACTTAAATTTTCAAAAAATGAACTTAAATATCAATAACTGGGAAGGGCTCTTTATCTAAATCCCAATAATATAAGACTGTCAAAAGAGAAGTTGCATTGGGAAAATGTTCTGTCAAGGATCTCTCTATACAATGCTAAAAAGTAATGGTATCAGTCTAAAGACTAAGGTGCACCTGATTGAGGTCATAGCCTTCTCAACTGTTTGTTATACATCAGAGAGCTAGACAATGACTAAGGATGACAGAAGAAGAATTGATGCCTTTGAGTTGTGGTGCTGGACAAGAGTATTGAACATACCATAGATTGCCAAGAGAATAAACAGGTCTGTCCTGGAGAAGGTGAAACCAGTTTGCTCCTTGGAGACAAGTATTTTGAAGCTTCATCTAATATACTTCAGACATGTCACTAGGAGGGACCAGTCCTTGAAGAACATCATGCTTGGAAGGGTGGAGGGACAGGGCAGGAAAGGAAGACCTTTGATGAAATAGATTGACACTGCAACTGTGGCGATGAGGGCAGGTGTGTCAGAGATGGTGAAGTCGGCTCAGGATAAGGGAAAGGATCAGCGTTCACAGGGTCGCTATGAATTGTGGTCAACTTGATGGCACATAAAAACAGCAATATGTAAATAAAAGGATGATAATGAAACTGGGTAACTCAAGTTCGGTTTAAATGATAATAGGGAATTATGACAGATGAGTAGCACTAGGCTTAATCATTTTGAGGCTGGTTATTATCAAGAACTTGGGTGACTGCAGTTAGACTTAAATGATAATAGAAATCATGAAAGATGACTATCACTGTTGTTGTTAGGTGCCGTCGAGTCGACTACGACTCACAGAGACCTTAGAAACAACTGAACCTTGCTTGCGCTAGCAGGTGCCACCTTCACCATCTCCAGTACACTTGAGCCCACTGTGTCCATCCATCTTGGTGAGGGTCTTCCCCTCCTATGCCGATCCTACAACTCTCCAAAGATAATATCCTTCTCTGTTGTCTGATCCTTACTAACAACATGCCCAAGGTATGAGAGATTCACCATCCTTGCTTCTAGGAAGCACCTGGCCAGTATCACTAGGCTTAATTCTTTAGAGGATGGCTATTACAAAGAACTTCTGGGATTTAAGAAAGTAATTTCTGTCTTCATGATCATGGAAATCCTCTTGTAGAATGGTTACTAAAATAAAAGTTTTCTCATCAGAAAATAATACCCACTCTCACCTTTACCTCTCTTAGTTGTTGCTAAGTCAGTTCCACGTCCTATGGGTAAGAAACTGTGCAGCAATCCCAAAGGCATGCGGTTCAAATCCACCAGCTGCTCTGCAGAAAGACAGGCAATCTCCTCCTGTGCAAGTTATTGCCTCTGAAAACCTTCTGGAGGGTCAGCTATGGGTTCTGACTCAACGGCACACCACAACAGTGACCCTGTAGACTGGAGTATAACTGCCCATAGGGTTTCTTGGGCCATAATCCTTATGGGAGCCGACTTACAGGTCTTTCCTCCCACAGACCAGTGGGTAGGTTTGAACCACAGTAGAGTACTTAACCACTATGACACAAGGGGCCATTCTGCCAGCATAAATAAACTTAACTGAAGTAACTTTCTCATCAAATAAAGATTTTGTTTCTTATCTAACTTTCTGGCCAAGTGATGCCAAGTTAATTTTAAATGAATGTTGTATAAAATAATGCAAGTATTTTACTAAACATGACTCTGGGTACTCCCAAAACCTCCATAGCAGGAGAAACTGGATCAAACACAGCAACATTACGTTTAAATAAAAAATATGTATAAAACAAAGCTTACTTTCCAGTCGAAGGAAGGCTCCTTTACAAATACATCCATGGTGCTGGTGAGCAGGTCTGGATGAGAACGGAAGGCTCTTAGTGAGTGCACCATTACACTGTACAGCAGACCTGTTTCTTTCATTGGCAACATCAAGTTGATGAACTGACGAGTTAGACGAAAAGGCATCAATTCAGGCACTGGAAGAAACTAAATAAGCAAAAATGCATGTAAGAAGTAGAATAAACAAACTAGAAATCATAAAAAAGCAGGTATATGTGAAACATTTCCTTACAGTTACTATCCATTTAGAGAATACAAACTCTACTTTCTGGAAGTTAGCTCTGTAGATACAGATTCACCACATCAAAGAGTAATCAACCAACAAATGACACTACCTCAACATAGAAGCTTCTGTGCACACAGTGACACAGAGCCCTTGGAGGTTAATATCAGAGAAAAGATTCAGATCAAAATACTTTGATTTTCCACCAAATCTCCTTACCGTAATTCAAGTTTTTGTATAGGTATACATTTTATTTTAGGGTCTGATGACACAATTTTTCATTGTAATTGTCTGAATAAAGTAAAAAGAAAACGGAATCTATCTCTCTTTAAAAAAACATCATAGTAGTGACCATGGCAAAATTGACCTAAATAATAAATCATTTATTCTTGAATGAATATTTGAAAAAAACCAAAACAACAACAACCAAAAATATGAACTGGGAAGGGGGAAGGACAGGAGAGGGGGTAAAAATGTGCATGCATGAATGAATGAATAAATGAATGAAAATCTAACTTTTCTGTAAACTTTTGTTAAAATCACAATTAAAATAAAAAATTTTATTTAAAATAAACAAGATTTGGGCTTTTCATGCGGATATGATGAAATCTCATGACAGTGACTAACTCGACTACACAATGTGAGTGGTGCATACCTGAGTAGCAGATCCGAAGGCATGTCCAAAGTCAATTCCAACCACACCGCCGGTTTCCATGTTCACCATGAAATTGTTCAGATGTCTGTCTCCAATCCCAAGAATCCAGTGGCTGATACATAACACTGCGTGAGAACTGGCAAAATGGGAGCGAAGTGCCAGGAAGGCCTCTGGGCCTGTGCTCATCTTCACAAAAGCACGTCTGGAAGAGCAGAGAGAGGTCTCAGGTACCTGCCACACACACCTGCTTACTGATGAAGCTAGAAGCCCACTTACTTTAAGAGATCGCCAGGCACTCTGTTTTCTCTTCTTCTAAAGGACATGACGGTTTCAGTGCGACTGGCTGCCCTATGACACAAAGAGAGGAAACGAATATCTAATAAGACCTGAAACTAAAATTTTCACACTCTTTCCTTATGCTAAAACTCATAACAGGATTAAAACAAAATACTGTGATTATAATTTTAAGAATTTAAAAGAATATAATTCAGCTAGTAATTTTATATAGATATATATTATTTACATTATATAAAAATATAAATAGAAAAATTATTGGCAGATACAGAGGAATTTAAAGAAATAACATATGAGCAAGAGCCTATGGTGATGAAGGAAGAAGTTCAAGCTGCTTTGAAGGAAATAGCAAAAAATAAGGCCCCAGGAATAGATGGTATACCAATTGAAGTATTTCAGATAACAGATGTTGCCCTGGATGTGCTCACCAAGTTGTGCCAAGAAATCTGGAGAACAACCACTTGGCCAACTGACTGGAAGAGATCTATATTTGTTCCCATTCCAAAGAAAGGTGACCCAACTGAGTGTGGAAACTACAGAACAGTGTCATTGATTTCACATGCAAGCAAGATTCTACTGAAGATCATCCAAAAACGATTAGAACAGCACATCAGCAGAGAACTGCCAGAAGTCCAGGCTGGGTTTAGAAGGGGTCGTTGTACTAGGGATATTGTTGCTGATGTTAGATGGATCTTGGCTGAAAGCAGAGAATACCAGAAGAATGTCTATCTGTGTTTCATTGATTATGCAAAGGCATTTGACTGTGTGGATCATAACAAACTGTGGCTGACTCTGAGAAGGATGGGAATCCCAGAACATTTAATTGTGCTAATACGAAACCTATACTTGGACCAAGAAGCAGTAGTCAGAACAGAGCAGGGTAACACTGCATGGTTCAAAATTGGGAAGGGTGTACCCCAGGGATGCATCCTGTCTCCATACCTTTTCAGCATATATGCAGAGCAGATTATCCGAGAGGCTGGGCTCTATGAGGAGAATTGTGGCATCAGGATTGGTGGAAGATCTATTAACAATCTGCATTATGCAGATGACACAACCCTGCTGCTGAAACTGAGGAGGACCTCATGCACTTGCTGTGAAGGGTCAAGGACTGCAGCCTTCAGTATGGACTGAGGCTCAATGTTAAGAAGACAAAGATTCTCACCACTGGACCAATTAGCAGTGTCAGGACGGATGACGAAGAGATTGAGAGTGTTCACAGCTTCAGTTTGTTCGGCTCCACAGTCAACACTCTTGGTACCAGCAGTCAGGAAATAAAAAAGCGTATCGTGATGGGAAAGTCTGCTGTTAGGGACCTCTCAAAGGTACTCAGGAGCAACAGTGTCTCTCTGGAGACTAAGGTGCGCCTGATACAGGCCATGGTATTTGCAATCGCTTGTTATGCATTAGAGAGTTGGACAATGACTAGGGACGACAGAAGGAAAGTGGATGCTTTTGAGCTGCGGTGCTGGAGAAGAGTACTGAATGTACCATGGACTGCCAGGAAAACAAACAGATTCATCTTGGAGAGGATTAAACCAAGCTACTCCTTGGAGGCAAGGATTCTGGGGCTTCGTCTGACATACTTTGGACATGTTGCCAGGAGGGACGGGTCCTTGGAGAGGGACATCATGCTTGGGAGGGTGGAGGGACAGCGCAGGAGGGGAAGACCCTCTATGAGATGGATTGATTCGGTGACTGGGGTAATCGGGATGGGTGTGTCAGAGGCAGTGCGGTTGGCGCAGGATAGAGCAGGGTTTAGGGCTGTTGTGCACAGGGTCACTATGAGTCGGAAACGACTCGACGGCACATAACAACAACATGCATAATTCAGTTAATAATTAATTGTATACTTAAAAACTCAATAATTTATCTTTATAGTTTTCATTAAACTTAACTGAACAAGGCCAAAAAGAATATAAAATTATTACTTCTTCTACAAGAAAGTTTAGTGACTATTACTATAAGTAATCCATGATTTCTAGAATAAACTAAATTTTTCAGTAACAATTTAATTATTAAGTTTTTACACATACAATTATCAAATACTTCACCATGTTGTGCTACCATCACCATTATGTATTTCCAAAGGAATTGACTCCTGAAGCAATAACTTATTTTCCCTCCTTCAGCCCCTGGTAACCATTATTCTGTCTCTATGCATTTGCCTGGTCCAGATACAAAATAACTGTACTTGATGTCATCTTTGAGGTAAGACTTTCTAAAAATCAAAGTCTGCAACTATGAAGACAGAGCTAGTTTAACTCAATGTTATGAGCTGGAACCAACCCATAGCTGACCACTGGATTTCCAATGTTGAAAATCACGTGGGAGAGAAAAAGATAGAAATCCATCTTTCTCCTGCGGAGCTGTTGGTAGATTCAAACTGCCAGACAGGTGTGGTCTTTGGGCTACAGTTGAAACTCTCTACAGACTACGCCATCTAATTTTCAGAGCACCCTAATTTTCAACTCAACCCAATACTATCAAGTCAGACTGACTCATAGCTGACCCTCTGGCAGGCTTTCAGAGGCTGTAAATCTCAAGGGAGGAGACCTTCTCTCTCTCTAAGCAGCTGGTGGATTTGAACTGCTTGCCTTTGGTTTGCTGTGCAGAGCTCCCTAGTTAGCAGACTGAAAAACACAAGTAAAACTTACTTATACATTAACATGTAAGCGCCAACATCACGTTTCCTAGACATCTTTGTCAGCCAGTCTCTATATTCAAACACTGGTGCTGTGGGATCACTAAAGAGAGAAAAAAAGAAAGTCAGAATCAGGAAGGCAGTACAAATAGCTAAGAACTTCAGGCATATATTCCTCTGTTTATCTATTACTGCCAATTAAGAGATTTCCTACTGTATCATTCTAAATTGTTAGTTGTTTATTAATGATTGCCCTGGGAATTAGATTAGCATCTTAACTTACAACAGACTGATTCAAACTTACATCATTACAACAATACACAGAAATTCTGCATCTCACATAATTTATCCTACTGTTGTTGTTTGCCATTGAGTCAGACCAAACCATAGCTGACCTTCCCTAACAGGTTTTTCAGAGGCAGTAAAATCACACAGGAGACTGTCCATCTTTCTGAGGAGCAGCTGGTGGGTTAAAACTGAATGCCTTAATTTATCCTATTATTGTTATGGAAATTTTATCTTTATACTCTGTTAGCCCCAAAGTGTAGTACTTTAATTGTTTTAAGCAGATGTTTTTAAAATAAGTTAAGGAAAAGAAGTGTTATTAAAAAGTATGATTTACATTTACATGTGAAACTGCCTTTACCTTTATTTCTTTGTATGGATTTTGGGGTCTTTCTCCCTACCCTCTCCTCTCCAGTCTGAAGAAATCCTTTTAGTATTTATTCTAGGCCTGCTAGGAAGAATACTGTATTTTTTTAAGTTTACAGAAAGGTTGGGTTTTCATTTATTCAATGATGCACATTTCCATCCCCCATCCACCCTGTCCCCCAATTCACACTGTAAAGCACTTCTCTCTTTTTTTATTATTTTTGTGTGTGTACCGTCAAATCAGATCTGACTGGTACAGGAGGAGATTGTTCCTCCTTCCACGGCAGAGCATCTGGTGGATTCGAACTGTGCACCTCTGGGACTGTAGTTGCAGCTCCTTGCCACTAGGCCACCAGAGCTCCCCTGTAAAGCACTTCTTGTGCCAGACATATGACGCCCAATCAAACTGTACTTTCAGACAGTCCTTTCCTTTGTCTATTCCAGTGAAGTGCTCATTATCCATCCATTCTTTTCCTATTCTCCTCCATGCCTGTGTCAATCCTATTTTTATGACAACAGTGTTACACAATAGTTGTCTTTTTGTGACTGATCTATTTCACTCAGTGTAATGTCTTCCAGATTCACCCACGTTGTGTAGTTTTACAAGTTCATGTTTTTTTCAATGCCATATAATACTTCACTGTGTAACTGTACCAGTTTCTCGTTAGTTGACAGGCAGTTGGGCTGCTTCCATCTTTTTGCTTCTGTAATAATGCTGTAATAAACATAGACATGCACAGCAAAAACTCTTTCTATTGTTGTTTATCTATAAATGTCTCTTTTTTATTTTTGAATGATTTTTTGCTGTTGCTGACAATATGCAATTCTTTATTGATAGCCTTTTTCTTCCAGCTTTGCATATTTAATTACAATACTTTACTTGGTCTTCTTGGAGTATCCTCTGAAATCTCCTATTCAGTTTTTACTTCATTTTTCTTTAACTTTAGCAATGCTACATACAAAAAGAAGTTTCGGAGTTTCTTCTAACATTCATTGTGGTCTTTTCTTTCTTTCATGTCTTTTAAACGGTCTTTTTCTTCCTTCAAGTTGGATGTCCTTGACATCATTCCACAAATAATCTGGATTTTAGTAAACAGTGCTCCATGCACCAACTCTATTTTTTATTTTATTTTTTTAATATATATATTATTTTTTGTGCATGTGCTGTCAAATCAGATCTGACTGGTACAGGAGGAAATTGTCCCTCCTTCTCTGGCAGAGCACCTGGTGGATTCAAACCATGGACCTTTGGGATTGCAGGACAGCTTCTTGCCACTAGGCCACCAGAGCTCCCCTACACCAACTCTATTTTTGAGATGGTCTTTAAATTCAAGTGGGATATGTTCACAGTTATATTTTGGCTCTTGTGGACGTGTTTTAATTTTTATAAATTTCAACTTGCTGAGTGTGCAAAAATAATGAAACAATTAACATTACATGCATATAAAATTTTGCTGAAGATAACTTAAAAATGGCTGCAGGAGCATATCAACAGTGAAAAGCCACAGATTCAAGTCAGATTGAGAATAGACTGAGGAAGAAGGGATGTCACTGCTAATGCCAGATAGAGCGTGGGTGGAAGGAGAGTACCAGAAAGAGCTGTTGTACTGAGCGTGCAAAAGCAATCAATTGTGTGGTCATGACAAATTATGGCTAACTTTTTTTAAGAAATGAGAATTCCAAAATCTTTAATATTGATGTCTGATTGTGAAGACTGAGTAGTTCCTTGGCATATGGCTCACCTCTCAGGTCTGTCTACTGTTGGCTGAAAGCTGTCTCACAAGGGTGATTTCAGTTCCAACTTGAAAGGGAACTGAGGATCATAGTGTTGGGGGATCATCTCCTCATTGGCTCCCAAAGTAGCCTCACATGTGTATTTCCTGTACCTCCAGTTTTCACGTGAGCCACTCACTGGAATTCCTGTTTGTGCAGTAATGAATCATCTTACTACAAAAACAATTTGGCTTTTGTCCTTGGTTCTTGAGACATAATCACTGGAAGTTCCTGAGTACTTGAGGGGCATTTATTATCTGAATCTCACACCTGAAGAATTATACAGGGTACAGGAGGGTCAGACTAGGAATAGGAAGACCACCAGAATTAACTCCTCTCAGGAACCATGATCTAAGCTCTCACATACATGCAACAAGACCTCAGTCAGGACACCACCGTGACATCAATTAGGCTCTGCAAATTTATACTCTGGTAACTGCAAATTGGGGAGGGGAAAGGCACCCTCCTAGAGCTAGGCAGGTCTGCACTAAGAAAAGTCCTACCTGGTCTGTCTCTTTCTTATGAGGATCCTAATTTGTATCCTTTTGCTCTAATAAAACCATAATTTTAAATATGGTAAAACTCTGTGGGTGGTTTTAATAAATTATTAAACCCAAAAGGTATAGTCAGAGCAGCAGTGAAAATGAGGGAGTCCAGGAAGGCCCTGAACTTATAGCTGGCATCATGAAGAAACCAGAAAACCCTGAATTGTAGTCAGAAGGTCAGTGTGTCCTGCAGACACCCAAGATTTGCTGGACTACCTACTTACAGTCAGAAGGACAAGATGTTTTCTGCTTGGGAGCGCTAAGTTCCCAATGGTGAGGAGCAGAGAGGAGAGTACCACCAAAGGGGCTGGCATCAGAGATGAAGAAGTTGGAAAAGCGGGGATGTGATTAATTAACAGACTTTGGGGATTTGGTTTATGTGGATTCTTACAATGACCTAGTGGGCAAAGAGGTAGACTGCCAACTCAAAGGTAGCCAGTTAGAATCTATGCTGCTCTTTGGGAGAAAGATGGACAATCTATTCCTGTGCAATTTATGGCCTCTGAAAATCTGATGGAGGGTGAGTTATGAGTTGGTTCCAACTTAACAGCAATTAGTTGTTGAGTTTTTATCCAACATAATGATATTCTTATAATAAAAGCTAATTGTTTTCATTAAAAACCTGAACTTAACTCATCTACCTATGGTCAGCTGATATTTGACAAGGAAATAAAACCTATCAAAAGGGGAAATGATGACCTCTTCAACAAATGGTGTTGGCAAAACTCAACTGCAATCTGCAGAAAATGGAAACAGGATCCACATCTCATATCATACACAAAAATCAACTCAAGGTGGATCAGAGACCTAGGGTTAAAGCCCAAAACCCATAAATAAGAAAGAGGGAATAAGCTTAGAAGGCCTAACATATGGTACAAAGAGGCTGAAAAATTCAGCCAGAAATACATTAGAAGAATGGTGACTGCGACTCCTTGGCTCTGCCCTCAGGATGAGGGATTGGGACCCAGCCATGCCCGTGGACATGAAGCTCTTCGAGAACTGGAGCACAGACGACATGCAGATCAATGACATTTCCCTGCATGATTACACTGCAGTGAAGGAGAAGTATGCGGAGTACCTGCCCCATAGTGCAGGCGCTACACAGCCAAGCGCTTCTGAAAGGGCCAGTGCCCCATCGTGGAGCACCTCACCAACTCCATGATGATGCATGGCCGCAACAATGGCAAGAAGCTCATGACTGAAGCATTGTCAAGCATGCCTTTGAGATCATCCACCTGCTCACTGGCTAGAACCCTCTGCAGGTCCTGGTGAATGCCATCATCAATAGTGAACCCCGAGAGAACTCAACACGTATTAGGAGAGCTCTGACAGTGACGCGGCAGGCTATGGACGTGTCTCCACTGCGCCATGTCAACCAGGCCATCGGGCTGCTATGCATGGGTGCTTCCGAGGCCGCCTTCCAGAACATTAAGACCATTGCTGAGTGCCTGGCCTATGAGCTCACCAATGCAGCCAAGGGCTCCTCCAACTCCTACGCCATCAAGAAGGATGAACTGGAGCATGTGGCCAAGTCTAACCGTTGATCTCCTGGCTGTAACCCAATAAACCTGTCAGCCGTTTGGGTTGCCCCTCCAAAAAAACCCCAAAAACAAAAACAAACCAAACTGATGAATGGTATCTTCTAAAGATTAAATCCCCATGTGCATCAAAAACTTTTCACAATAGGATGCAAAGAAAACCTACTAACTGGAAAAAATATCTCAGGCAAGGGTTTTATAACAAAAGCTTACAGAATTCTACAACGCTTCCAGAAGAAAAATTAATAACAACAACAACTAGTTTATTTACAAAATTCATATTTGAACAAATTCTTTCAATTTCCCTTGCCCCCACCCATCAAATTGTACAACCCAATGATTAATCCCCTTTACCCCTTCACATCCACTTCCCTCTGCTTCCAGCCTCTCCCATCCCTCCTGCATCCTTATACTCATTCTATAGTAGAAAAAGAAAAAAAAATGAAAAAATGCGGCTCTTGTTTAGATCATCCGTTGTTCGTTTGTGTTTTTTTTATTTTTTATTTTATTATTTTTTTGTGTGCATACCGTCAAATCAGATCTGAGTGGTACAGGAGGAACTTACCCCTTCCTTCTCCAGAAGAGCATCTGGTGCATTTGAACTGTGCGCCTCAGAGACTGCAGCACAGCTTCTTGCCACTAGGCCACCAGAGCTTCCTTTAGATCATCCTTTGTTTTGATGACATTTGTGAAGAGAGTGGGGAAAGCCTACTGGTCACAATGGAAATATGTTGTTGTTATATGCCGTCGAGTCGCTTGCGACTCATAGCGACCCTATGTACAACAGCCCTAAACTCCGCTCTGTCCTGTGCCAATCGCACCATCTCTGATACACCCATCCCAATTGCCCCAGTCACTGAATCAATCCACCTCATAGAGGGCCTTCCCCTCCTGCGCTGTCCCTCCACCCTACCAAGCATGATGTCCCTCTCCAAGGACTGTTCCCTCCTTACAACATGTCCAAAGTATGTTAGACAGAGCCTCAGAATCCTTGCCTCCAGGGAGCCGCCCGGTTTGACCCTTTCCAGGATGAATCTGTTTGTTTTCTTGGCAGTCCATGGTACCCTCAACACTCTTCTCCAGCACCACAACTCAAAGGCATCAATTCTCCTTCTATCCTCCTTAGTCATTGTCCAGCTCTCAGATGCATAACAAGTGATTGCTAAGACCATGGCCTGCATCAGACACACCTTAGTCTCCAGAAAGACACCATTGCTCTTCAGGACTTTGGAGCGGTCCCTGACAGCAGACTTTCCCATCGCAATACGTCTTTTAATTTCCTGGCTACTAGTGCCGAGTGTTGACTGTGGAGCCTAGCAAACTAAAGCTGTGAACAATCTCAATCACTTCACCATCCATTCTGATGCTGCCAATTGGCCCAGTGGTGAGAATCTTTGTCTTCTTGATATTGAGCCTCAATCCATATTGGAGGCTGCAGTCCTTGATCCTCTGCAGCAAGCGTTTCAGGTCCTCCTCACTTTCCGCAAACAGGGTTGTGTCATCTGCATATTGCAGATTGTTGATAGATCTTCCACCAATCTTGACCCCACATTCCTCCTGATAGAGCCCAGCCTCCCAGATAATCTGTTCTGCATATAGGTTAAAAAGGTATGGAGATAGGATGCATCCCTGGCGTACGACCTTCCCAATTTTGAACCATGCAGTGTTTCCTTGCTCTGCTCTGATGACTGCCTCTTGGTACAAGTATAGGCTTCTCATTAGCATGATCAAGTGTTATGGGATTCCCATTTTTCTCAGTCAGCCATAGTTTCTTATGATCCACACAGTCAAACACCTTTGTGTAGTCAATGAAACACAGATATACATTGCTCTAGTATTCACTGTTTTCAGCCAAGATCCAGCTAACATTAGCTACAATATCCCTAGTACCACGACCCCTTATAAGCCCAGGCTGGCCTTCTGGAAGTTCTCTGCTGATGTGCTGTTCCAGTCGTTTTTGGATAATCTTCAGTAGAATCTTGCTTGCATGTGAAATTAATGAGCTTGTTCTATAGTTTCCACACTCTGTTGGGTCACCCTTCTTTGGGATGGGAACAAATACAGATCTCTTCCAGTCAGTGGTTGTTCTCCAGGTTTCTTGGCAAAACTTGGTGAGCACGTCCAGGGCAGCATCTGTTAGCTGAAATATGTCAATTGGTGTACAGTCTATTCCTGGGGCCTTAATTTTTGCTATTTCCTTCAAGCAGCTTGAACTTCTTCCTTTAGCTCCATAGGCTCTTGCTCATATGTTGTTTCAAGAAATTCTTCTGTGTCTGCCAATTCCTTTCGATACAGTGACTCAGTATATTCTTTCTATCTTCCTTTAATACTTCCTGGATCATTTAATATTTTTCCTAATGCATCCCTGATTATAGCAACTTTAGGTTTGAATTTGTTCTTCAGTTCCTTTAGCTTAAGAAATGATGAGTGAGTTTGGCCCTTTTGATTTTCTGACTTCAACTCCTTGCACATTTCATTGTAATATTTTACTTTGTCTTCCCGTGCTGCCTTTTGAAATCTTCTATTCAACCCTTTGGTATCTTGAGTTCTTCCTTGTGCTTTGGTTTCTCTGCGCTCCAGTGCAATTTTCAGAGCCTCTTCTGACATCCATTTTGGTCTTCTCTTCCTCTTCTTTCTTTTCAATGACCGTTTGCCCTCTTCCTGGATGGTACATCTGACATCCTCCCACAACTCATCTGGTCTTTGCTCATTAGTGTTCAGGGCCTTAAACCTGTTCCCACGATGATTCTGAAATTCTGGGGGGATAGACTCAAAGTCATATTTTGGTTCCCGTGGACTTGGTTTAATTTTCCTCAGCTTCAGCTTGAACTTGCATATGAGCAGTTGGTGGCCTGTTCCACAATCAGCTCCTGGCCTTGTTTTCACAGCTGATATTGAGCTTCTCCAGCGGTTCTTTATGCAGATGTAATCAATCTGATTCCTATGCATGCCATCAGGTGAAATCCAGGTATACAACCTGTGTTCATGTCTCTTAAAAAACTTACTTGCAATGAATAAGTCATTGATTGTGCAAAATTCGATCATCTTCTCTCCAGCTCCATTTCTGTCACCAAGTCCATGTTTTCCAACTACTGAATCTTCTTCTCTGCTCCCAACTTTTGCATTCCAGTCATCCGTTCCCAGAGGTTTCTTCAATCAGGTTAAGCCTCCAACTCCAGGGCAAGCCGAAGTTTACAGCCTCCAGCATTAATGTTCTTCCAGTCTACTAGAGCTGACAGTGTAAGCTTCATACCAGCCCTCAGAGTCTAGTGTAGCCCACTCCAATTAAACTAGAGTTGTTGACTTTTGCAGAAATGGAAGCAGTGGGATCCAACTGGCATCTAGCAGCAATGCCAAAGCAAGTGCAGTTGGTTCCTGATTTCCAAGGCAGGTTGACTGGGTTCACACACTTTCTGATAAACTGATCCTCCAAATTCCATCCCATCATTGACATTAGTGTGTAACTGGAAGACCCTGGTCCGGTAGCCCACAGAAAAGTTTTTCCTTGTCAGCTTCGATTTGGCACTGTTGAAGGTCATCTGGTACCTGGTGAGTCAGCCCTCATAACCAAAGACAGCTGAACCATGGACTGTAGGTCCAACAAAGTCAACATCACAACCAAGGTTTATGCACTCTTTCTGGTAAAACGACTTGATTTTACCATTTCCCCCGCCCTGTGTTTGGTGAGAAGGTAGTACTGAATGTCAGTTTTAAACTTTGGCAGATCTGGTCTTCAATAGCTATTTCTGTTCCCAGAGCATTATCAGTGTTCCATTTTTCTGTGAAATTCAGCCCATACTCACACCATTTATATTTCATCTCCAAGGTCCCAGTAACTTTACCAGTGTCTGTATTAGATGAACCAGATGAGAATTCCACTCCACTGCATGACTTTGTTTTCACATCTAGTTTCACCAACCCAAAATCATATCCTTTGTTGCAAGTATCTCTGGCAGCTTTACCAAGGTCAGCATAGGATGGAGGAATGCATACTGACCACGCGCAGCTCTGCCCGTAGGTCACCACGGCAAGATGAGGAAAGAGATACGGTGGTCTCCCGAGAAGGAGATTCTGCTCGCAGCTGAGGCTGCCTGACTCACTCAAAGCCAAACTGCAGCTGCTGCGGCTGGAAGAAGAAGTGAAGGAGACACCTTTGTGCCCGCCATAACCCTGCCAGGACCCCCTGTGTCAGGTGTTTTAGTACTCTCAACAATCTTGAGGGGGGTACTATGACCACATTTTTGGATGTAAAAACTGAAGCTTAGATAAGTAATTTGCTCCATGTTCATACAGGTAACTTAGTGAAGAACAAATATTAGTTCAAGATTTTTGTTTGTTTGCTTGTTTTTTCCCCTAAGTCAAAGTCTGTGACATCCATTACCTAGAATTACAGTACTCCATCGTCTAACACAAATCTATTACTGTTCGTTTATCTGTGTAGGTATGTTTTAGCCAATTCCACTATATTTATTCACCCACCTGGGCAGAATAGATAATAGAGGACGCCAGTTAGGGTATGGCTTAGAGTGTCCCTTAGGAGGAACCTGAAAATGTTTCTGGATGTAGAAGAAAGCAGAAACATTTCTGTTCAGGTAGGATATTAGCATGGGTACAAGTAGACGGGTAGCGTGAGAAGGAGGAGGTATACATCCTATTACCTCAGATAAGCAGTTTTCTCCTCTTGTGACATGTTATTCAAAAGAACTTCCTTCAAGGTTGAAGTATTTTCAATCCATTCAATTAATCCTAACCTGAAAAGGAGAATGAAAAGATTATGGGTAAACATAAATCCAAGCTGCTCTCATTTCTCTAAAGAAAAGATACTATAGATTCAAAGCAAAATATAGATCTCCATGCCAACTCTTCATCTAAAAGTCTCCCTTTAAGCAGTTTAAAACATTGACTTGTCAAGTGACAATGACTTAGCATCAAGCTCTACCTGGTGGTCATGGGGATGACCCGGTAGGTCTTTAAGCGGATGTTTCTTTGACTGCAGGCAGCATCACGCGCAAGAATGTCATTCATGACTTCAAAGAGCTGCTCGAGCCGCTGGTCCTGCCGCAGGTCTTCCCCACCTTTCACAAGAAAGGGGTACTCTTTCTCGTCATGCCCTCGAATGATGATGCGCTTAGGTTTTCTGATGGAAGCCATTACTTTTACCTAGATAAATGAAGAAAGTAATTTAGATGTAGTCTTAAAAGGTAAGAAAAACCCCATTATTGTATCATAAACAAAGAGGAAAAGCAAGACTGGTTAGCATACGTTCTCCAAAAGAGAGACTGGCCTATGAAGACTGAGTTAGGTGACACAGAAAGCCATTTAGTTATTGAGGATGGAGATTTAAGAGCTGGCAGATTTTCAGGGACGCAGTGAAATATCCTCACTATGACTGTACCATGAGTAAAAAGAATAGCTTATAAATACTGATGTTTTTAGAAACAATCAATATGACACCTTAACTTTAAGCTAACTTAATTCTACATGTGTGATAGATACACACATACACTTTTCCCTCTGTGTTAATATTTCTTTAATATGATGCTGAAATAAGGGGAATGTATTAGTATAGAGTCAGAAAATTTTTTTGAAAAATGAGATCAATATGGGAATTGTCGTTAAGAAATAAATGACTCCTACAACTGGAGAACATTATACTCACCATCCTTAGTAGGAAAACTACAGAGACAGGGGTCGTACATATGTATACCTACCCGTTCATCAAACCCAGCAATCCGTGCATGGTATTCAGGCAATGGCTTCCCTTTGCCATCATACTGACCTAGAACAAACCAAAATCGGAGATAGAGCCTATTATATAACCCCTGGATTTTAAAACACTTCTAAAAATTAAAAAAACCAAAAAAACAATAAAATACCAAACAAACCCAACTTAATCTAACATAGCAAAAGCATTTAAGGAGATCTTCATTATGACATTATTCGTTTCATTGGTCAATGGAAGTCACTTCCTTCAAACATACCAGACAGTTCTAGACAGGACAAATCTCACACTGAGTTAAAATACTGTGCTACTCCCAAAGCATCTGCAAACTGAAAGGTTTACATTTTAAATGTTTTTCTTGCAAATGACTAGATAAAACTGCACAGATACTAGTAACAACAAAAATTGTGTATCTTTATGTTTTTCTTTCTTGCATTCACTGGAAAGAGAACACTAGATTAAAACACTTTTTTTCTCAGTTAAATGTCAGTCTTACAACATGGAATGTTCCTAATTTCCTTTGAAAAACACATGCTACGTTCACATGCAGCCAACAGGCTGAGTGTCTCCATTCTCAATGTCACAATCCTTCTTTACCAAACTCCTTAAAGATAAAAAATTTCTTGTCATCTCTTCACCTTAACTGAGACCAGCATGTTCATGCCAGGAAGTGTTTGCAATGACACCTGTGTTTTATATTGGAGGTAGAATGACAGAATTTTGCATAATCAACAACTTATTCATTGCAAATACATTTTTTAAGAAACAAATGCAGGCTATACAAATGGATTTCACCTGATGGGGTGCATAGGAATCAGATCAATTACATCTATGGAAAGATCACTGGAAAAGCTCAATATCAGCTGTGAAAACAAAGCCAGGTGCTGACTGTGGAACAGACTCCCAACTACTCATAGGCAAGTTCAAGGTGAAATTGAGGAAAATGGAAATCAAGCCCACAGAATCCAAAATCTGAACTAGAGTTTATCCCATCTGAATTTCAAAACCATCTCAGTAACAGGTTTGAGATCTTGGACATTAATGACCAAAGACCAATTAAGATGTGGGAGGATGTCAAGAATAGGTCATTACAAAGACAGAGGAGGAAGAAAAGACCAAGATGGAAGCCAGAAGAAACTCTAAATATTGCACTGGAGTGCCAAGAAGCCAAAGGAAAGGGAAGAAATCAAGAGGGTAGTGCAGGAAGACAAAGGTAAGTATTACAATGAAATGTGCAAGGAGTTGGGGTCAGAAAATAAAAAGGGCCAAGCTTGCTCAGCATTTCTTAAGCTGAAGGAACTGAAGAACAAATTCAAACCTCGAGTTGCAATACTTAAGGATGCTTTGGGAAAAATATTAAATGATCCAGGAAGCATTAAAAGGATATGGAAAGAGTTTACAGAGTCATTGTCCCAAAAGGAATTGGTAGACACAGAAGAATTTCATGAAACAACAAATGAGCAAGAACCTGTGGTGATGAAGGAAGAAGTGCAAGCTGCTCTGAAAGAATTGGCAAAAAACAAGGCCCCAGGAATTAATGGCATACTGATTGACATATTTTAACAAACAGATGCCACCCTGGATGTGCTCACCAAGTTGTGCCAAGAAATGTTGAGGACAATCACCTGGTCGACTGACTGAAGAGATCTATATTTGTTCCCATTCCAAAGAAAGGTGATCCAACAGAGTGTACAAATTATTGAATAATATCACTGATATTGAAGGAAATAGCAAAAAATAAGGCCCCAGGAATAGATGGTATACCAATTGAAGTATTTCAGATAACAGATGTTGCCCTGGATGTGCTCACCA